CGTGACCTGTCGGACGATGAGAGCGGTGGTCTGCAGGTCATGGCCGCGATGGACGGGTCAGAGGCCTTCCACCAGGTGGTGAAGGACATGCTGCTCAACGGTCACCAGGTACATGTCAAGCTTGTTGTTGTTGTTGTTGTTGTTGTTGTTTGTGGTGGTGGGGGTGGGGGTGACGGTGACGGTGTATGTGTGTGTTCGTTCCATCCAAACTGGCGCCGGTTTACGGGCCTTTCGGCGAGAATATCTGACTTATCAGCCGGGGGTGGTGATGTTTATGACAAAACGCGTGCTGATCGTCTATGTTCGAGCTGGTGCGTTGTTGGATAGTGTGAATAACGCACACAAGCTGCTTGTGCTTTTTTGTAAACGGTACGAGGTTGGTCCGCGTCTTGGTTAGCCATCTCTCCGTTTTGTGTTGTTTGCGTGCAACTATGGGTTCATAGCTCTACCTGTGGTCCCTGCTGCAAGTATTTTCCTACGCCGTCTCGACGCTGCCGCAACTTCGGCTGCTCAGCAGAGAGACTCCACCCACTGCACAGCAGACAGGCAATGTGGTTCAAGCTCGACCTCCCTGTTCCTGTTTCCCTCTCGGGGAACCCCCTTGCAAACAGGGGAAAGCCCATGTACAACGGGCGTGCGACCCACCCACTCCCAAAAACCCTCACCCCGCCTACAACCGGAATCTCGAGTGTCGACGCGCCAGGGCGTTGGACTGGCACCCTTGCCCTTGTGCCACGCAAACATGATCCCTAAGATTGACAACTGGGTCATCTCGTGTGTGTTATTGGTTAGCTCTAGCACCTTGAAGCCTGACCAGAGACAGCTACTAGTAGGTCGTCTCGTGTGTGTTATTGGTTAACTCTAGCACCTATAAGCACGCGGAAACACCCTCCGAGAACGACAGCTGAGAAGGCAAGCTAGAAGGCAAGCTACACATGTGAAGACATGCAATCGAAAGAGCTGGACTTGGGTATCTTGCCTGCCACGACTGCTTGCGTCTCTCTTGTCGCGCGTGTGAACTGTTGGTGTGCCGCCCGTTAAACTGATCATGTGACAACGGTTGTGCTTTTGCGGTGAAGGAGAACTTGTGCTTACGCCTGTGCGGGAACCTGCTCACTCGCGACAGGAGGGACACCCCCTGGACAACTTGTTGCTGGAGATCAAGAGCTACAAGTTCGCCCAGAACCGCGAGTTCAAGGAGTGCATGCGCCCGGCCGTGGAACTGGTGCTCGACTTGGCTGGGGCTGACACCGGCAACGTATGTCGTCGTCGTCTTGAGGGACTTAGTGATTTTTTCGACAAGGGCGATTCATGAGGCCACCACCCTCCACTCTTGTCTGTTGAGCCTCCGACGAGGGGTTCTGTGAAATCTCTCGGAAAAACCGTTTGTATGCGGTGCGGTCCGACCCGTGATGTGTTGATTTGTTGTCTTTGGTGTCCACTTGAATGTCGTGTACAACGCACGGCTGTGTGGTGTGTGGAGCTATTGACGATATCGATCAAGTGATCTATTTGTCGCGACTCTACCTGTCTGTCATAAGTTGCTGCGCGCTTGAGATGTGGCGTCTCTCTTTGCGGGAATTTCACTCCAGTTTGGCGAAGAAGTTCGCTTCTCCGTGAATGTCATTTTCTCCAACCCTTTTCTTGCAATAGTCCGAAAATCTTGTTGGTTCTGTAAAGCCGTTTCGTTTTTTTTCACGACTCGCTCCGTATCTGTCAACGCAGGGCATGGCTTTGGTAGCGGCGGTCAAGACTCAGCTCAGGCACTGGAAGCCGCTCCTGTCCAAGCTCAACGTCGAGGCCGGGGACGACGTGGAAATGATCAAGGTCGTCGAGTCGTACGCTCTCAGGTGCAGCGAAACCGATGAGCGCGATGCCCCCCCCCCCCCCCCCCCCCCCCCCCCCCCCCCCCCCCCCCCCCCCCCCCCCCCCCCCCCCCCCC